ATTTTTTGGTACAAAGGTATTATCAATTTAAAACCATTATATATTATTTCAAATCGATCACGATATCATATAATAAATCGAACAAAACTTATAATTGAACAAGTATCGATTGGTGACGAAGGATTTTATACATTAAAAATTCAAACTAAATTAAATACTTATAAACAATATCTTTATCATGTATGTTTTCTTTTTTTAAACTGTGAAATTACACAAATTTATCTGATTAAACCATTGTTGTTGTTTTTTTTTGAGGTAATTTTATTTACACAAAATCTTTCACTTTTTATAACTCCACCATCGTATCAACAAATTACTTATCATGCTGAACAATCAATCAATTTGACTTGTTCAATATCTTTATATGCTGATCGTACTTATATTGAACAAATACGTTCATTATTTTCATCAATTTGGTTTATGATTATTTATAATAATGATCCTGATTATTATCAACTACTTTCACCATCATCATCTATTTCTTATATATATACAGCTTATCTTTTCAATTATGAACTTAATCAAAATGATCATAATCAAACAGTATCTTGTGCACTTATTCAACAAGATTTAAAACAAATTATTATACTTAATGTTACTTTAATAGATGTATTAAATATTGAATATAAAGCATATTTATATGGTAATTATTATTTTATACGTTCATTTAATAGTTATTCATCAATTGAAATAAATTGTGAAGAATTTCATGGAAATCCAAAACCAGTTTATAGTCTTATATGGATGTTAAATGGAGAAAATCGTACATTATTGAATAAAACAAAACATGGACGATATTTTATTGATAACGCTACTTGGCGACATCGAGGTAAAGATTTTGTTTACTACAGTAGAATTTTATCAACATCTAGATTTGATAAATGATTGAATTATTTTGTATCTTCAATTTTGTTTTTACTTTTTGTTGAATTAGAATTTATATTGTGACCTATGATAACGTTCATATTCCATTTGGTATTTTCTTAAACATTTAGCAATAGAATGCAAGACTTTCGAGTTATATTTAAGAACTTTTATAGGGGAGATGTTTGTCTATTTGAAATTGTCTTCGAGTATTTTCGTACGAGGAAATGATCCGAATGGATATCCGCCGTTAGAGATTATATTAGGTCCATAAGGATGTCATGATGAGACTAACAAGAACCTGAAAGGATTTATCATAATCAGTCTTTGGAGCAGAATTGTCACCTCTGCAAGTCAGAAAATCGGAAACAATGCGGGCAGATGTTTTGTGTAGGCTCTTCGTATTTCTATAGGAGGTTTAAATCATTGGACAAATGTCTCATTTTCGAAGAAATACTTTCAACATTGGTGTTGCTTACTGAAATAGAACATACAATGGATCATATAGGTCATTATGAAGTATAGACAACATCTATTGCATCTTACTTAAGATTAACAGATTTTTTTTTAGTCGGAAATTTTCCAACAAAAAAATAAACCAAAATTTCTCATCAGGAAAAGATGGCAATCGTACTCTGGAGTTGAATTATCCAGCATCCAATTTTGAGTATATACGGAAAAATAAAAAAGAACGAAATTTTGCCCATAGATAATATCTCAACTACGGAACATTCTTTTTGACTGAAACTTTCCGAATATCATACAAATCATTCAGCCTATCTATCAGCGAAATTTCAATCATTCCGTTTATATTTAAAACTGAGTCGAAAATTCAATAGAACGATCATAACTCGACTTCAAACTACCATAGAGACATAATCTTTTAGTATTTTGCTAGTCTCATTAAGACTAATAATAAAACATTCGACGCCGAAAACTAATCTCAATATGATTTCGTATGTAATTTTCAATCATTCTTTTTTGTCAAGGAAATTATACATGTCTTGCTGAAAATTATCTTAATAACCATCAACCGGTACATCAATCATTTCGTCTTAATATTTGGTTTAATGAACATGAATTAAAATTTCAACATCAAACAAAATTATTATCGTTAGAACAATTATTTCAATTAAATACAAATAAATCAATTATATTAATATTTCTAATTATAATTTTTATTTTTTCTTGTATTTTCTTCATTTTATCATTTTATTATTTTTGTTTACAAATTAAATAGAAAAAAATCTGTTTTTTTTGCTTTTGTTTGTGTTTTAACAATCAGTTTATTTTAGGAAAACTACTAGGATAAGAAAAGACAAAAAAACATGAAATAAGTTTGTTCATCTACTTTCACCAATTAGGTTCTTTCGTTCCACCAACTAATTGACTTCGATTACGAAAATAATCTTGTCGAAGATTTTCATGTTTATGAACAAATATTGAATAAGTAATAAACGGAAATATATACCAACGTTTAATACACACTTCTTTTAACCAAAAACGAGTTACTTCAAAAGCCATATTTATTTTTTTATTTGTTTTTTTTCACTAGCAGCGTTTAAAGCTTTTTGTACTTTATAACGTTGTGTACGTTGATAATCCAAATAGATAAATGTTGTTGAAGTAAAAAAAAGTATAAAAGCTAATTTTGATTTCCAAAGTTCGTACCAAATTGAACGTGGACGATAAGGATGTGCAGCGAGACCAGTTAATGGAGATTCTCGTGAAGGTGGAAGATAAGGTGGACGAATTTGATATTCAACTGGTAATGAAGGATTAGTTGATGATCGTTGATTTGTAGTTGTTACTGACGATGAGCCATCGGCCATAAAGATAGGTCTTTTTGTATGATTGAATAAGAGAAAAAATGATGATATAACATAATGGTATAATGCCAGACTCTCGATGACTCATATTTTATTATAAGATTCTGCTTCAGTTATGCACTTGATTTATGGTTTCTAAGGAATAAGTTCTATGAGATAATTTAGATATCAAAAAATTCTAAATTTAATTTATTATCAACTGAGATTCAGCGGCAAGTTTCTAGAAACACGAATTGAAAACGTTTTGCTTGTACTGCTCTCTATAATTTACAGTGACATGGTTCTCGACAACATGACCAGAATAGATCGATGCTGCTCATAAACATATGATAATTATATTTTGTTTTCAATTCTTCACTATATCATAGAAAAATATTCTGGTTTTATTCATTGTTTCAAGATATCATAGAGATGTCGCTAATGAAAAGTGCATCTGCTAAAAATTCTAAGACAAGAATCTCTAAATAATGTTGATGATATTTTCTTAGTGAATAAATAAATATTTTGTTTTATAATAAAAATAATTTAATCAGTTTTTTTTTCTCATTCGTTAATTAATTATCCAATAAATACCTATTTCAATCCTATGACAAAGTGTGTCTAGCTAGCCTTCAAAAAAATAACATTATTATTTTTCTTGTTTTGTCATATAATTGATTAAATCATGGGGCTTTGCAGATGCCCACAACGCAAAGTATCAACATTATTTTGTTTTAAACATCATGTTAATGTTTGTGAATCATGTCTTGTTAATGAACATCCACAATGTATTGTACGTTCATATATATCATGGTTACAAGATAATGATTATAATCCAAATTGTTCTTTATGTCAACGATCGTTAAGTGAAACAGGTGAAGAAACAATACGACTTATATGTTATGATTTATTTCATTGGTCATGTCTTGATCAATATTTTCGTTCATTACCATCACATACAGCACCTGATGGCTATACATGTCCAATATGTCATACATGCATTTTTCCACCATCAAATCTTGTTTCGCCTGTTGCTGATCATGTTAGAGAAAAATTAGCAACTGTTAATTGGGCAACACGTTTGCCAATATTGTCATCTAATGAATCAATTATACAACAAGAAAAACAACAATCATTAACTGAAACAGAAAAAAATGGATATGTTATTGTTAATTCAGCTATAAGTGGTGATAGTATACAAGGAGGAACAAGTGGATTATCACATCATCCAAATCGTGCAAATGAAACAACACAACAATCAACAACGTTAACAATGAAAGTATGTTTAGTTGATTGTTTTATAAGATAAAACGAAAATACTAATAATTAAAAATGAATGAGAGTTCCTAGTTTTAGATTATAAAGTCAATTTGATTTTCTTTTTTCGAATATTAAAAATCATTTGTACCTCGACTGTAAAAGAATCTATTTTTCAATTGTCTTTTTTTATAATAAGAAAAATTTGTTTCTCTGAAAGACAAGCTGTTACACATAGCGGTGCCATAAATTATATATAAAGCTATTGTCTCTGAAGTAGCAATGAGTGTTTGTAACTAGAGAATAACCGCATTGATGAGTAGAGCCCATCAAGTCGAAGAATTTTTGGACCCGGATCCGGGTTTGACTAATTAATTTTTTTATAGGTTCGAACTTGAACCGCACTCTTCTCTTAATAAAATTTTCTAATGCAATTTTGATTGTCATTCCGAAGATACGATATACTTTTCGTTTCTTTTCTGTTAGATGATCAGTATATGTAGAGATCTCAATTCTTGCGTAAATTAAATTATTGATAACTTGTATTATAAATATATTGTTTTCATAATTTATATTTTATTCTAAATTGATAGGAAAATGACATCTCTAAGCAGATTTTATCTATTCTTTAAACGATTCGATAGTCATTCGATAATAATTAAGTTACAATTAATTCTTATTCCTATCTAATAGTTTCTGATAGAAGAATGAATGTATGTATTACAAAGACTTTATATTATTTCTTCTATTCAACAACTATTCCATGATCAATAATATTCTGCTTTATATTGAATCATATACATAAAAAAATAATATACTATGAATTTCTTTTTAAAGAAGAAAAAACTTGCCGGTCAAATAAAAAATTATGACAAGTCAATCACATTTTATAAGCCAAAAAAAATCTCATATTTTTTTTTTTATAAATAAATTAAAGTGTTTTTGAATAAAACGAACAAAAATTTAAAGAAATTCGTAAAATATCATTATATGCATTAAGAGTTGTTTTTCGACTCGGATCCGATAAGTAAAAATTTCAAACCCCGGTCCGGATCTGGATCCGAATCGAACTCGATGGACTTGTTTACGACTTATAGCTACACATTCTTCCTAGCACAAACAATTCTTTATATTTCTTTAATATTTTATCATTCTTTAATTGATATGATAACAGCCAAATTTCGATGAAATCTGTTTGCTAATATTCTATTTTTGAACGACTAAGTTCCACTTTTCAAGAGAGTTGAAAGATGATCCTGAGGATTTTATGAAGATTGAGAAGAGGTTGAAAATCAAATGTGAATCTGATAGACTTGTAATCTAGAGAGCTGCGGATCCAAGTTTTTATGGACTCGGATCCGATCGGGTCCAAATCCAAGCTTTTTTTCATCAATACCTGGCACGCTTCGTGTACATAAACAAGTGAAGGATCAAAGCTTCAGCCATTTATTCGCTACTTTCAGAAAAAAACTCAACGTACAGTTATACCTCGTTGCTGTATTTCTCATATGGGGAGCAGCAGGTCCACAAAAAAGTGTAACCAAGCCCAACAAAAAATAAAAGGTTGAACCCGAACCCGACAAAAAGAAAATAAAACTTTGGACTCGGACTCGTCCGAGTCTGGAAGAATCCACAGCTCCCTACTGTAAACAAGATATTTAAAAGAATTATTTATTGATTTTAGCCACTAGAAAATGATCCAGATGAAGAAAAATATAAGCGTCGTAGTGTTTTTACATGGTTTGCTCGATGGTTACGTTCTCGTCAAACAACAAATCGAAAAGATACTATGTATAATCGACCACAGATATCTCGTACTCGTTATTTAATTTATATGATATTTGTGATTTTATTTATTTTTCTTACAATTCTAACAATTTTATATAATTTAACACGAGGTGATAATAATGAATATATAAATCGAAGCGAAGATCCACAATTTAATCCATTTAATAATCCATTTATACATGTTGGTGGTCGATTTTTGAAAAAAACTGTAAAAGATTCAAATTTACCTAATGATCAACCGAAATAAAGCTAAACAATATTTTATTTACTTTAATCGCTTATTTTTTTCTTTTTTTTTTCTCTCTTATTTCCAATTCGAATTTTTCTTTTTGTATACCGATAAAATTTTGTTTTAAGTAAACTATTTATTTGCACGAAAACTTGTTTTTTTTTTTCAAAAAATTCATTTAAATTCTTTTTTTTTTTTATATCAATAATAGATGAATTTTAATCATCGTTTCTTTTTATTATTAATATTAACATAGAAATTATTCTTTTAATATTTCATCATGTATTTTTAAAACTATACTTCGATGACAAAATTTATAATGATATTTAATTGATTAATAATAACCTTAGAAGAACGTGTTCAATCATATGATATATAACAAAATAAATATGTTTATTACAATTTAATTATTGAATTCGAACAATGAGTAAATGGTTATATTCAAATTTATCGATTGATATGAAGGAAAAGTGACAAGGAACAAGTTCAAATCGTAGTATTACAAATAAAAACTATTATTTATGATATTCGCTATTTTATTTTTATATTTTTAAAGTAAAAATTTTAAAATATACAGATCGTATTTATTATATTACAAGAACCTTTTTGTTTTTGATTTATCAAGTGTATTTGAACAGTTCTTTTTTTTTGTGTGTTAAAAAACCACTGAATAATGTTGAATGTTACATATAGGTTTGTATGAAAAGAATATTTTTCTTCGTATCATAGACAACTATTTCACTGTAGTTTTTATACGTTTCCTCAATAGAACATCTGCATAATGCACATTTTAATCTTTTCAGTTATTATTGTTTCCTATCCGATGAATATAATAATATCTATTGTTCAATGTGAGATTAACATTAGTTAAACGAAAAGCATGTTCAAAGGTAAGAATGAGTCATTTATTAAGTTGATTATCTTGTCTATCATACTCCTACGATATTCATCACCAGATAATTGTTGTCAAATTTATAGTTGGACTCTAACTTAAGTTAGAGTTCATCAAATCAAATATGTGTAAGTTGAAATGCAGACGTGAAAAACTTCGATAATATGTGATTTTCTTTATACACATGCAGTTAGATTTAGATTGTTAGAAAAAATCGAGATATACAGCAAATTTCGAAGAATTCTGTAGGTTAATGTATCAAGTCTGCTTTCAAAGATAACATTTGAAATTCTTATTTTTTATTTTAGATGATAAATTGTTCTTTTTTTATATCATTTTTTCCTCATCATCAATATTTCTACATATCAATTGCTCATAAACGATTACATACAGTATTTTATACAATGTAGTGACCGACGAAGTGATGCGTCTCTGAAGATCGTGTTAACCCTTTCAGAGTTTGTAATTATTGTACTACATTCTAACAGTTGGTGCATAATCAATGGGACAGAATGTTTTCTTCTTTTTACTGTACAAAATTCTCTATCTTTTGATATATGTTTCAGAATTTTAGAAGAAATATATAAAAGAATTCAATTTAACAACCGTATTATTGTGGTCAAAATTAAATTCTACATCCAGCAGCATAAGAACAGATGAACTTTTTTCTTCTGGATAACAGTAGCAGAGAGCACGAAATTATGTATCCATCAATGGCAAATACTTTACTTTTGACATTGGTCCTGACATAAATCGATAGATCACTGCAGAAAATCAGAAATCTCAGTTAGACTATTGAATAGATGTTCATCCTTTAAATTTTATACCGACAAAAACAAGCAAAAATAGTAGGTTTGTCGAGCATAAAATCTATAATGTGTTAGAAAATGCTCTAAAAAGAGGAAAACATTCTATCTCGTTTATTATGCGCCACCTGTTGTACATTTGTACTTCCAAAAATAAATGTTTGTCGTCCCGAAGTCTTCAATCACACTGGTTCGAAAGAGAAAATCTGGGTAAAATACTAATTACATGCTAACATGTCTCAATAAGCAGTGTATGAAATTTATAAGATCATCAAATCGTTCATATGCTATACCATGTAATTCGTTTCCATAGAACAAAAAAGAAAAATATGAAATAATAACTATATATAGAATTATTATTAAATCTAATGATTGAAAATGTTTAAAAGTTTACAATTAACGAATAAGATTTATTCAAATACTATTTTCAGATGTCTAGTCAATATCCAACAACTACAACAAGTATACGCTCTAGTCCTTCACGTCGAAAATGGTTTATTGATTTACAAATTCGTAAACATGAACGTTTAGCTGTTACAACTAATGAAAATAATTTACCAACGACAATTACAAATAATAATAATAATAATAATAGACTTTTATTATCACCTATTGGCTACAATGAACAACGAGTATCAGATTTAATAATACAAGAAGATGATGAACGTTTATTAGCAAAACGTTCATGGGATATTGCATTACAACCAATAAAACAATTACCAATGAATGTTATATTAGCATGGATGGCTGGAAATACATTTTCACTTATGTCAATTATGATTGTTGTTATGTTATTTATGAAACCTATACAAGTATTCTTATTATATTCTTTTTTTCTTATTATTTAAATAAATTTGAGTATGGTTTTCTTTTTTAGGCAATATTTTCACTTAGTTCAGCATTTTCATCATTAGAACAAGAAGGTTTAGTTGGAAATATATGGTTACATAAAATAATGTATTTTTTGGGTAATCTTACACATCTAGCATTAGCTTTATATAAATGTCAATCAATGGGTTTATTACCAACATATAATTCTGATTGGATTGCATTTGCTGATCAACAAACTCAAATGGAAATAACCCTTGGAGGAATTATTTATTCATAATTCAGACAAAATACAAAAAAAAAATTTTTTTTTTCTTTACAAATTAATCTAGTCGTTGTTTTGTATTGATGTTTTATTTAAACAAAATATTTTAATTTATAAAATAAATGAGAATTTATAGAAATCAAAATGATCGATATGGATTTTTAATCCATATTAAATTTGATTGTAAATTTTTATTAATAGAAGATGATTCATGTTCAATAGTTGATAAAAGAGCATTATTGTTTGAATGTATAGATTGACGTGATTTATGTTTTGTTTCATAAACATTTCGAAATGGTTGTTCAGAAGACATAGATGATTGATCAATAATTAAAGATGGATGTGAAGTGAAACTAGCATTTGTAACTAAGTAAAAGAAAGAGAAAAAAAAGCAGACGAGATAATATTCGAGTTTCATTCGATTGCGAAGCTACAAATGTTGACCATCAGAAAAAAGTCGATATCTCATAAAAAACAAATAATAATTTCTATGACAGCAGTTTACCGCTCGAGATACTTACAGTTTACAGCAATGAGTTTCTTTCGTGTCGATCTTATTGGAAACTCAAATTATTTACATTTCGATCAGTCAAATGACCAAAATATAAAAGGCATGGTAAAGCAGATTCATTACCACGAGAATTCTATCAACATGTTTTTACAGAACACTATGGATTTATTACTTCATCATATATATGATTCATTATGTATTATCACCTATCATCATTTTAATTATCTCGACGCTTGAAAAAAAGCAAACGAGGGAATCTTTTTACTTGAAGATGTGGGTATGGGGTGGGTTTAGGTCTTAGGTGCTTAAGACAAGACTTGAAGTTACACCCACACCCACATCCCAAAGATGGAAATCGCAGCTCTCTAGGTCAATCCATTCAAAAGTTATTCAAAAAATACTCACCCACCTTCTTTTTTGAACTGAGCATTAGTATTTTCTGAATTTTCATTTTTGAAATCATTGTGACCGAAAATGATAACTCGGGATGTGTATGTATAGTAAAATACAAAAGACTATATAAATGCGGTGCGAAATGACCTCAAATTTTGGCAATGAAATTTGAATTAACATAAGAACTATAAATGATTTTATCCAGAATCGATCTTGTCCTGTCGAAAGTTTTTATTATTACTCTCACGCATAACAGCTGACTAAAAAAACAAAAACGCATATTGAAGATTTCAAAACATTTGTATCATCGTGAAACATCGATCTCTCTGGCAAAGTTCGAACGAATTTCTAGCGACTTGCTATTCTGTAAATCATGATGACACAAAATACAGACTTTGTTACAGAGAAAAAACACGCAAAGCATCGAAGGCGAAGTATGCACGACCAACTCTACAGAAATGCTTTACTTCGCACTTACTAATATATGTTGGTTGTTGAATTTCTTCTCCATTTCTTGTTCGTTGTTCATTATTATTAGTGCTATACCAAGTTGGATAAGCTTGATAAGGATAACAAAGATAAATAGCTGGTTGCATAAAAGAAGCAGTTGGTGAAACTAATGAAAGTGATTGTGTAGAATTAACACATGTATCAATTAATGATGTCATAGGTTGTGTTGTATTATTATCATTTTTAATTGATTGAATATCTTCCTTTTCTTGTTCAATTTTAATTGATTGTTCATTATCAATATTATTATTTAATAATTTTAATTTTTCATAAGCTAAATTTAATAAATCTAAAACATGTTGACTTTGATCAAAAAAATGAAATAATTTTGAATAATCTTCAACTGCTTTTGAATATTCTTGTTTTATCATCCAACAAGCAGCACGTATAACATATGCTAATTTATTCCATTGATTAAATGCAATTGCTTGTGTACAATCATCAATTGATTCAAAACATTTTTGTTCAAATAATAATGTTGTTGCACGTGATGCTAAAATTTCTGATTTTAATTTATAATCATATTGACTATCATGTAAAAGATTTGTATAAATTGAATACGATAATGAATAATTGCCTTGTTTAGCAGCAAGCATTGCTAATTCACGCTAAAATGAATGAAAAAAAACGATTTTCAGATTTTCTTAAATTTAAATGAAGATCAACCCAAGGACGAAAAAGCCTCATTCGACATTTCAATCCTGCAGAGATTGTTCTAGCGACTTTTAATTCATTGCAAGCAAGAGACAAAAAAAAATATCATTTATATTAATCATCTGATAGGGATCTCCTTTTGAATTTTATTAGACTAACACTATAAATAATGATTTCATTTTGTAATATGAATTCCTTCTGACCTGTTTTTCATAATGTTCTAAATTGCAAACTTGTTTAGTAAGATCTAAATCATTTATCAATTTTCCTGTTTCAGATTTTGTTAATGTAACTAATCTAGTTTTTCGTTGTGATGGAATATTTTCATGATTTGTTGATAATAATAAATGATTTTTTAAATGTTTTTCTAATGTAGCTTGTAATTGTTGATCAATAAATACATCAAAATCATTCGATGATGATGAAAGTTGTGGTTGTTGTTGTTGTTGTTGTTGTTGTTCAATATGAATAGGAATTGGATTTGTTGTCGATTGTTGTTCATTAGTAATTGGTAATGATATTGTTGGAGTTGAAGTCATTGGCATCATAACTAAAGATGATGATTGATCATCAAGAATAGTTGTAGCAGCAGAATTAACTTGATAGGAAGTTGCATGGGAATTAAAAGTTGTTATTGTTGGTTGATTTTCCGTTTTTTCTAATTCTTGACATATCTAAATAATGGAATTAAATATATTTATGAAAATTTATGTATATTTTTTTTTTAAATTTTAAATACAGGTTTTAAATTTTTATTTGATTGAATTGATTTATGACTTGAATAATGTTTTGAAAATTTCTTTCGATAATGATTATCATTCGATGATAATGATGTTGTAGATGAAGAATAAGAATAATAACGTTTATTAGAATGTTCTTGATTTTTATATTCATTATTATCTATGTGTTCTTGTCCTAATGATCGATCATATTGTTTATCTAAGAATAAATGAGAAAAAACAAATATTCTATTTTACATTTAAAATCTTTGATTTTACCTGAATTCCATGATGGATTTAATGTATATTGTTTAGGTTTATGAATAGATGTTTGATTAGAATTTGAAGATTTTTCTATTGATTGTTGATTAAAACCTGAGACATTAGAATCAATTGTACGCATTGAAGGTGGTTGAGGTACTTGTTGTTGTTGTTTATCATCATCATCATTATGAAATTCATTATAATCACCATCACCAATTGTTTTTTTCGATTTTTGACGTTGTCGATTAGTTTCTGTTTTCTGAACAATTTCAGATATTTTTAATAGAGCATCAATTATAGCTTTTTCAGTTCGACGACGTTGTATTAAACCGATTTTTTTCATTGATGAAAATATAAAGAAAAGTTAAGAGGAAAAAAAAATTCTGGAGAAATGATATAAGAAAATTATTTTTAATAGTCTAAATAAGCGCCAATCTAGTATATAGAACATTATTTTTATTTCATAAAATCAAAGAACAAAAACAGCAAAAAATTTATTGTTCAAAAGTAGCAAACGAATCACAAAACGTCGTTTGTGTATAAATTGGCTCATTAGTATAGACATATTGAGATGTTGATGGATAGTAATAATAATATGATGAATTATCATTATTGATATTCAATGGACAATTTGGTTGATGATAAATACAAGATGTTTGATATATAGGAGAATTCACCGAGATTGTATTTGTAATTGTTGACGTATTTGATGTTACAGATTTCTTCTGTTTTTTAATTCGACGCTATAAAAACAAAAAAAGATAGAAAGAGAATTTTTATTAGGAATTATTTACTCGATGATTTTGAAACCAATTTGAAATTTGAATAATATTACAATTTAAAATTTTAGCAAGACGTTCTTTTTCATTTATATCAGGATGTGTTTGACGAGCAAAACTTGCTTCAAGTATTGTTCGTTCTTCACGTGTATAAACATGACGAGATTGAGATGACATTTTTTTTTTGTTGTTTTTAATGAATTGAACATTATTTGAATAATATATTTGAATCGATAATATCGAAAATGATTAAATGAGCTCATGGGATTAATTAATTAATTGTCAAAGAATGATAAGAGATCAAACGATTGATCAAAAAACAAGGAAAGAAAAGAACTATGACACTGTTATGAGTTTATTGTTTATAGAATGAAGAAATAAGCGAATATACAAACTGTTCATATGTTTTAATTGGATAAATTTACTGACAGAAGACAAAAAAAAAGAAAAATTTTGTTTAGATATTGAATATAGATTTGAATTAACTATTTCCATAATCTTTCGTATTTTGAATTTTTATATTTATTAAATTGGTTTAAATGGATAGAATAATGAGGGAATCATCTTAACTGATACCTGTAATTTGAGATAGTATTGAGCCAAACAAAAAACGTCTTCCTGAGACTAGTAAAAGTCTAATGAGGTTCGTCTTCATGAGTCTATGAAACAGATTTATAATCGTTTTATTGAATTTTCATTCATAGATAGGTCGAATGGCCTATAGAATAATTTTAACCGAAAAAAATGTTTCTTTGTTAAGATATTGAAATCATCGCTTGTTGTTCGTTGGGAAGTAATATGCATTCGAATCATTTTGGACGATGTCCTCGTAAAAAAATTCGAGAAAATATTATTAAAAATTTTATATATTTATTTCTTTGTTATTTTAACAATGATTGTTTTGCTAAGGCAATTATAGGGAATGAAATGATCTATTCCTAACGAAGATGAAGAAAAAACAAAAAGAAAAAGACAAGAATACGTCGAGTATTATTTCTTCAATGATATTTTTGAGTTCCAATAAATCATGAATAAAAGTCAAGATTACATAGAATTATTCAATGTCGCTGTTTTATTGATCGAATTTCATGCTATAGATATTTATCTCAATTAACGAAACGATATTTTGTCAGTAGATTTAATACAAAATGTTGTTTTTGTCAGAATTAAAAACAGTAGACTTTCATAAGTTTAAAGATTATTATTAAACGTACATATTTTATTATTCGAACAACAGAAAAAAAGAAGCTATTATTTTTTTTTTCATATGTTAAAAAGTATAATCAATTTCATGGGTGTTAAAAATTATATTTCGTTCTTTTCAAAAACAAAACAAAAAAAAAAGATTATAAAAATCTATTATTTGATAAGAAAAAAAAATGAATTGATCTCTTTATTTAAGTGCACGTGTTAGTGGTAGTATTCCATGTAGTTCCTGTAGAACAATCACAAACATTTGGTGTTGGAGTATTCCATACCATATTTCCTGGACATATACAATGTCCTAAATAACAAACAAGATTTGCTGTACAAGCATATTGTCCTGGACATGTACCATTAAATGAATGTCTATCTATACATCGTTGTCCATCCCAAAATGTATTCGATGCACAATCACATATATGTGCATATGATGTAGCATAACAATTACAACCTGTACTTACAGATGGACATGTAAGATTAACTGTTGTATTACATTGAAAATCATATTGACATGAAATAGCATAAGTTTTCTAATCGAAAAAATTAAAAATTAAAATAAAATAAAATTTTTATTGAACTAACTTTTGTTTGACACCAATATGTTGTAACATTATCCCAATAACTATATTGATCACATACACAAATACTTGATACACATGTTAAACCTCTTGTAGTATCACATGGAATAGTTCCACTACATGGTTCTCCACCAAGAGCATCTATACACGTAAATAAAATTCTAAAAATAGAAAAAAAAACGAAAAAACTTTATAAGTCATTATTTTACTTTGTACACATATTGATCCATTCCAATAAGATGTTGAACTACATTGACATAAAAGACCTATAATATTAAAATTCAATATATAAATTTTAAATGAATACAATTTTTACTTGATGAAACACTAGTACAAGAAAGACCTAACCAATCTTTACAGTCAGTTGTTGTTAGACAAGTTTGATTATATGATAATCTAGAAGTACAATTTCCTTGATTAGCACCAGTTGTTTGTAAATAAGTCGTATTATCACAAACACAAACATTTTGACCAGTAGTATATGTTTGATTAACAACTTTCATACATGTTAAAGTTGCTTGACAAGGTACAGGATTACAAGGATCACCATAATAACCATAACTTTGACATGTAAAATCTGTCCACATTTGACTTGAACCACATGAACAATTTTGTGATGTTGCATTCCAATAATAATTACCTGTACATATACATGTTCCAGCTGGACACCAAAGCATTCGTGTTTCATCACATGAACGAGAATTCATATAACATGATTCACCATAAAGTAAATATGGTTGTGTTATTACTTTTGGAATTTTTATCCAATAAGCAAGACCACCTTTTAATATTTAAAATATAGGTTAAAAAAAAAACAAAAAATATGTTTACTTACCTATTCCAGCAGCTAAAGCTACAATGACTAAACTTGAAACTAATGCTGTTTGCCATCGTCGTGTTAAACAAGCATTTTTACTAGCTAATTCTGATCGATGTGATGAACGTAATAAATTTTCATTTTCAATTTCAATTTGATATAAAGTTTCTTCTTGTACTCCACCATCTTGTTCTAAAACTTTTTGAAATCCAACATCATTTGCTGATAATGTTGATGGTTCACGAACAAATGAATTATTTATAAAACTAGAATCACTATCAATCAATGGACTAACTGCATTTGAAGGTAACATTGCTCGACGAGATGCAGATGAAATTGATGTATTCATTTTTTATTTGTAGTAATATTTGATAAAGAAAACTGTTGACGCGTATATGTACAGTTATAGAAAATGAATTTTGTTTATACACGAATTTTTTAATCGTGTATTTATGACGAAAAAAAGAGGGAGTAGGGTGAAGGTAATGTATAATGAGGTTTTGTTTTTTTTTTAATATTTGCACTGCTGTTAGTAAACGAACAAAAATATTGACTTAAGCATTAAATAAACTGCTAAATTTTAAACTCAAACATTTAAAAACAATTAATAAAGAAAAAAAAGAAACGAAGAAATTTTCTTTGGTATGTATTTAAATCACAATAATTCGATCAATTCACTTAGTTTCATTCTCTAGATGCAAAACGATCATTAGAAAAATAAAGTTATAATATAGTTTGAAAATGAATTAGTCTTATACAATATATATACATATATAAAGATTGACTAGATGATCGATAAATCTAGTCGACTTGTACTTTCATTTTCAACTACATATATCTAGTGCTTGATAAACAAAAAAGCCTTTAGAATGTGATAAAGATGCATTCATTCATCTACTGCTTCCTTGTTTTTGTTTAATAAATAATAAAATAAAGGACTCATATTCTCTAATACATTTTTTGACTTTGAAATACATTGACAAAAACTTAAATTCGTGCTGTACAACAACAAATAATAAGGATTCGTCAAATTCTATTTTTCTTAAGTAAAAAGACCATACAACTACTTCTATTTTTTTTCTGAGAGTCACTATAGTTGACTGGTTACATTGTTTAACATATTATGTTAGAGCCTTGATATCATTAGCCATGGAATAATCTCGAGCAAGTCATGAACGACTGATTGCATCGAATCATCTGTCCGATAGCATGTTGACTACGTTGCGACATACACCAATCTTCATGACTAGTATAGTAAGATCTCTTTTAAATGAGAAATATAAGCTACTTTACTAGTTTTGAAGTAATCATAAATTATTCATCTTCTTTCATTCGAATATTTATGAACCCAAAAAATCTGATGAACGTTACTCAACAATGCATCCAAATATATCTTCATCAAGTTTTACTATGTCAAAATATGTGTTCATTTAAAAGAAGCTCATATAGTAATTAGGACTATAAAAGCAATATTCAAGTTCAGAGTAGGGCGGTGTTTACTAATATAGATTTCACTGTGAGGGTGCGGGTGTCATTGTGTGTGCGTAAAAAGCAGACTAATATCTGCGCACATCACACACAGACACCCACATCTCACCCACCTACATCTTTTTTTCTTAACAAAAACCAAACAAAATATGATTTCCGAAAAACAAACACTTTCTCGCCATACAAACTTTCCCATTTTATAATCTATCTTTCTCTTCTGATTACTATTCTTTAACTTAGGTTTATGATATGATAATTATAAATAATTGATAAATTTTACCATTTATTAATTACTCTTATGTCATTCTAGTTTTTGAACAAAAAAGCGCATCTAATATACATTGAATAATTCTATACAAATACATTGCTTGTTTTTCTTTTGTTTTTTTTTTCTTTATCAATGAAACAAATAATACAAAGACGCACATATACGCAACATAACACTTTCAATAAACTGATCGAAATAACACATAAAGAAAAGAGAAATTTCTGTACAAACATATGCGATTTGCTCTCAACAACGAGCATTACAAAACAAATCATTGAATAACTAATAAAACAAGTTTAATTATTTGTTATAGTCGTTGTTGATGTAACCGTATTATTTCCATTTGATGATGATAACGATGATGATGATGTTGAACCTGTTTCAACTGGTTTTGTTTGATTATAAAAATCAGGTATAAGTTTAAGTCTATTTAACATTTGATCCATTATTGTTGGTGATAATGAATTATTTGAATACCATATAGAATTTTCATGAATTTGTTCTGATATTGGAAGTAAATAAAAAACATCAGCTGTACCACGAATTTGTTCAGGACTAATATAAAATAAATAATAATAATAATAATAAATATTTAAAAGTTATCTTACCATTTCGATACATAAAAATCATATTGTTTTATTGGACATCGAACTGGATCATTCATTTGTTCAGTTATTTCATAAAATGTTGGTAAATTTACTAATGATTTAAGATCTTTATAAAGAAAAATAAAAATTTCTTGTTTTCTTTTTGTTTTATTTTAAAAAAAAACTATTAACACAGTTTCTGCAGAATTAAAATATCGAATACGATGTAGCTGCTG